TAATCTGCTACTATGAATTAATTGACATTAAGTTTCTCAGTCCCATATAATTACAGCAGAAGGGAATTTATTAAAAACGAAACAAAAAAAAACCACCAACAACAAAAACAAAACAACAAAAACTATAAATATACCCCTCATATTAAAGGTTAAAAAAAAAAAAAATCAAGTAATTCTAAGTGGAATGATTTTTCCCTAATCTTGTATCTCATTCCAGATTATGAAGTAGGATAACCTCTAATAATGTCCAAACAAACCTGTTAACTTGATTATCTGAGTTGATTGCAGCACCAGAGCTATTCTGGACAAATTTATCTTATTTTTCTAAGAGAAGCTCAGCAAGTTTCCTTCATTTGAAGTTTTTTTTCAGAAGAATTTTATCAGTACCAGTATCTGATTAAGGTGTTCTTAAGTCAAGCATCACTGATTTCCTTCCATTTCCCACTCCTCCCAGAAACACCAGTTTCCAGTTTTCACTGGATGATGATAACCTGAAGATGATTTAAAAATAAAATAACTTTAATAGATCTCCTAATTGGAGACAGCAATGAACATTGTTGGTCATAGCTCCTGTCAGGCTATTACCAAAGAAAATCTGGGGCAAATTCCTTTTTGCTGATCTTGGTTGTTCCCTCTTGTCACTGCTATTTGCTGATGCCAGTTGTGGATACTCCATCACTGGAGGTGTTCAAGACCAGGTTGGATGGGACCTTGTGCAACCTGCTTTAGTGGGAGGTGTCCCTGCCCATGACAGGGGGGTTTGAACTAGATGATCCTTAAGGTCCCTTCCAACCCAAACCAGTTGGGTTGGAAATAATATGACCAGGTTGTAACTATTCACCCTCCTGGTTTCAGTTCCTTGGGACAAGTTAACCTTTGTGTAAGGTGGTACTAGTTATGTTGTGGTGCAAAACTGATCTTCCAGCTTGCTGATTTGTGCTGTAAGCCTCTCAGCCAGGTCTTTGTAGGCAGTGGCCTTCTGGCTTTGTTTGCACCAAAGCAACAGCAGGTGAGACCAGACCTTGCGCTGGCATGAACGTTTTGCAATATTTATGGACGCAGTTGCAAGAAGTTTCTGTATTTCAACCCAAAGTACTATCTGGAAGAATTTCTATATGGGTAGGAATATGCGTACACACAAGCTGCAGTACATAGCCCTGGTGCTAGGTAAAGCAGAAGCAAACAGTGGTGCTCTAAACTCATTGGTAGGAGGACTCTCAAATCAAAAATCCTGTCTGGGGGCAAAGCAACTACCTGTTCTGAGCAAAACCCAACCAACATTAAAAAAAAAATAAAATCTGGGCTTCACTGGACACCCAGGTTATGTTCACTGTAACACACCCACTTCAGCCACAGTTCCCATGATAAACATGGGAGGTCTTCAGATGCAGTGGTCAGTGGCAAGCATACTATGTGCTAAGAAGGATTGTAGTCACCATGTTTTGCAGGCTTTACCTGCTTCACGACTGCAACATGTGTCTCTTGCCTTATCCATTAGACTCTGATGCTTCTAAACTGTTATGCGAAATGTCAAAAGATCAATCTTTGGTTAATTTAAACCACAACTAAATTTTGTCTGCCATCACAGGATAATTATAAAAGCAGTATGACACATGAAGAAGTATAACTTCACAGATGAAGAGAGCAGAGGGAAGAAATATGCTATGAAGGGGAAAAGCTGTTCACATTGAAAGAATAGGGATCTGGAGTCAAAACTCATCAAGTTATTGGCAAAACAAATTGGTTACATATATATCTCTTTGCCCACCTTTCCATCCATATGACAATCTTTAATATGTTAAAACTGAAAAGATCAGCAGAGTCTAGGAAGGAGTACAGTCTGAGCTCAAAGCATATAATAGCTGTTGCCTTGTGATAAAAGAGCATCAGAGATGGTTTAGGCACCAAGAACCCTGTGCTGCTGTGGCATAACGACAATTCCCATACTCTACAAATACTTGTGTAGCATCTGAGCAACTGTCCTTTGAAGTGCAGGCATTAGGCTACTTTCGGGTCATTATGTAACATAGCTGAGACACGGAGTAGGTGCCCTGTTGAGTTATATTGAACTATACTGGGTGATGCAATATGTACAGAGATCTGAGCAGAACAAAGAGGAGTATTGAGCAAAATGTGCTTTCAGCCACATGATGATGTAACTCATACCTCAGCTCCCTGAATATTTACATACTTTACAGTCTTTGAAACTGAGCACCCTATATAATAGCCACATATTCATCTCTGCAGCCAAATCTATTGGATTAGACTAGTACTAGTCTTGCCACATGGGATGAATTAACTTATGTACCTGTGTAATGTTTATTCTCTTCACTTAGTGATAACGAGCTACAGCAGCGATTTGAGGAAAATAAACTGAATATGTACGCAAAAAAATGAGCTGCCAATACATTAATTGGCTTAAAGTAATTTGAAAGTAAGAAAAACAAATGCCAAATGCATAGATTTAAATTATTAAATAAGCTACTATTTATTTTTTAGAACTCTGTACTGTAGAAAGCGATAGTCTGAGATACTGAATTAGATGAGAGCTTAAAAAGCTACAGGAAAATAGTTCAGGTATGGCATCAAAATTACTAATACAGATTGAGAAGATAGAATTTCCTGGCTCAGATACTGATACATGAACATACAGGTTCAATCCCCCCGGAAACTGAAAGAGAAGATTATTTTCCCTCCATCCACTTCACTACACAGGACTTAAAATGACCCCAAATCTCTTCTTAGGAAGGAGGACTGGGATAGCCGTGTAATCAGCCCATCTGAGTGTCTGTACATGCGCAGGGCCTTAGCTGTGAATAATAACAAGGAACTACAACAATCTCAGTTTTTTCCAGGCATCATCATCTCATGAGAGTAGATGTGACTTTTTTACTTTCATCGACCCTCCTGCGCAATATGCAACTCCTATGATGACTCTTTTTTTGTGTATGTAGGTCTTGCCTTCATTTCAACTTCAGTTTACATAAATTTTACATTAGGATTGCAGCATTCTTTTAAAATAATAATAGAGCAAGGTCTTACTTCAATAGCAATAATTAGAGTAAAAAAAATTCTCATTCCTAAAACAACCCCACCAACATTACTTCTTAAATGTGTGCTTTATAAGCATGAATGTGAGTAATAATTTGGAGTCTGGCATTCACAACTCCTGCAACTCGTCGAGCCAGCCACTGATTGGAAAAGTCTACAAAACTTTAACCCAATTTGTGTTTTTGAGACAGACAGCTGTACTTCTACTTATCATGGAGAAGATAACAGTAACACAACTTTAAACGAGAAAGGAAATTTCTCACCACCCACCAACAGCTTAAGTTGCCCAGCACAGGTTGTCATGCTAACGACAACATCGCAAGACCAGCTTTGGAACTTCCAGGCTTTGGAAGAAATATATTGTTGCCAACAACTGCAGATGAAGCTCCAGGTAATGGGGATGCCATACCTGTGAATGGGCACAGTATGGGAAATTGGCTTGGAAAGGAATAATTTTTATTTCCACCACTCTGCCATAAGGTGATCATGTCCCCTCATTCCACACAGTAGGCTGTCAACCTAACAGTGCCATGGCCAGAAACCAAATGGAATGAAGGCTAGACTGGCCTCTTACTTGAGGGATAAAAGTGCAAAATTTGGACAGACACAAGGACAATTTGCTGGAATTTGATTTCCTTATGAATGTCATTTGTCTTTCTTCTGACTGGAGTGTTTTTTTGAACCACAGGATGATATTCTGTGAAGGAAGGCTGATGAAGTGATAGTAGCAGCAGGACAAGACAAGGTATTATCTCAGGGACTAATTGCACAGCTTGACTTTCTAATTTGTTAGAAGAGATGAACATTCCCCACAAAGGGGAACACAGGCTGAAAGCTGTTGGTAGATTTCCTGATATTTGAGTAATAATGTAAAGATAATTGTGATCTAATTGTAGACAATTTATTAGTCAAAAAGTTAGTTGAACAAATTATTCTTTCTACTATATAAATTAAAGTTAAAATACACACAGAGGAGAAGATTATTCCTGAGGTATTTGTGACTGCAGGATACCTGAAAGGTACCAAATATAAAGCAGAAAAATAATGACTTATAAAATATCTCCTTTTAAATATGTAGCTACATGAAATGTTGTCCTTAAGCAACTTGGTTTAAGATTAAAGTCAGCCCTGCTTTGAGCAGGAGGTTGGACAAGGTGATCTCCAAAGGTCCTTCCAACCTAAATAGTCCTTGGATTCTCTCAAATGCCCACAGTTAAGGTTGTATAAGACCACTTGAAAACAAAAAATCCATCTAACAGCAGAGATGGGCTCAGACCCTAGTGGAAAAGGTGTGTGAGCACCACAGCTTATCCTCACCCTCAAGTTGTCCCCTCAGGCCCCAGCTGCCTTGTCCCCAGTTTCCACCTAACCCCACAACAGCACACAGTTTTAGCTTGCTCATATTTCCTTGCAAGCATCAGTTGGATGTGCAGCCCCTCAACAGTCTGAACCATGTAATGGGATCCTGTGTGACAAACGAAGGCAGTCAGATTGAGGGCACAACAGGGAGCCGTCCCACCTCTTCCTCCTTTCCCTGTGACTCCAATGCATCCACGGGAACACGAGAACACTCCTCCATCTCCTGAGGGAGCTGCTCTCTTCTCTTGCTACCCTCCCTCTGCATACAGATGTGCTTGCGTGTGGACTGCACACTCCAGAAGGCAGATGCTGCTGGATTTTAATCCCCCTAAATTCTCTGATGGATTAAACCTCAAATCTCTATCAGTCCTTCTTAATGCTGTAGTAAGTAACACACATACTGGATACACTGATTTACAGATGAAATAAAAACAATTGGCAATCAAAATTAAATGTCTATATGGACAGGACACTAAAACATTCTGGATTATTTTCTCCCACCAGCTTTTACCCTGCCCAGTGCCTGCCAAGGCAAAAATCCCTGGCTGCAGCAATGGAAGGTGCAGATCCATGTATTACCCTCCACCTACCTGCAACCCTTCAATGGCCAGTTTGAGAATAGACGGTGTAAGCTTGGAGGCTTGCTTGAAGGAGAAGTTGCTCCAATCTATAATTAGAATGAAACCATTTATCTGAAGCTCCTGATCTTCAATGAGCACTTCCAAGGACAGAAGGATTGCCCGAAGGATATCTATGAAGGAGTTTCTAAAGCCAAAACAGAAAAGTAAATAATAATCAATGGTTGCAGTTATCATCATCAAGGTACACAGCTTTGCTGTGGATGGGACATGAGCAAGGGACGGGGATTTATTCTGCTAGAATTCTTAGAAGAGACTTGTTTCAGAGGTGTAATTGAAGTGCTCCAGCTCCAAAACTCACATTCATCTGCTTGATGTGATAAGTTCTGCACACTGATGGATAAAATAATCACTGAATTAAATATTTTTGATTCTTCTGGCATTTCTTACAATAGATTTTAGCTAAGCTACTTTGGGAAAATATTTCTCTGTGCTGAAATGAAATGGATTCAGGCTATCAGTTCAAATCCCTGCTCTTTTGGATATACTTTACTACTTTTTTTGTTTGTGGCTTTGTTTCCTTTCTTCTTCTTTTATTATTTTTTCCCCCTATTATAAAGGGGAAGCTCAGAAAAGGAAAAAAAATCAGATAATTATTAACAGAATATTAACAGAAACGGTTACATCTAGGCTCCCTGGCTTCCTGCTTGAGTGGAGGGAATGATTGAATACTTTGCACAATAAAGTTTGACTCTTGCCTTATTTCTGCAAACCAGATGCAACATGGAAAATAGCTGCATCTACTCAAAATGGGAACTCTTTATTAATTAGCAGCTACCAGTAGGCTGGCTGTGAGGCTTCCCTCAGCTCTGGGAGAATAATTAGAAACCATGGAGGCCCTGAAGGAGATGGCAAGTGATGGAGAAGAAAATGTTGGAGTGTTTTCTGTAGTGTGAAGGTTTGTACTGAGGAGCCTGATCCACTCTCTATTTCTATCTCATGCATTTTACAAAAGTGAGTTGGACACTTTAATGTCTTATTCCTTATTTACATCTGAGTAAGCTGAATCAGGCCCTCTCATCATCTGTCTTTCGTGTTAAGATGTTTTACAAACAGCAGATTCTTTTAGAGAGCAACAACCAAGGAAAGCTCAAATTTTGATGTGGCCTGAGGTCTATTACAGAAGGCTCACACCACATTCTCCCACGGAGATTTTAATTTAATCCTTTTCTGCTGTTTTCTTTAGTTTAAAACAAGTCATCTAAGCCTACAAGAACATTGTTTCAAATTCTGCCTGAGAGAAAAAACCTACATGCAGTCAAAACAAACTTCTCTCCTATCAAGACCTCTGCCCCTCAACAGCAGCAACACATGAAAAATTTCTGTTAGAAATAAATGGTGAAGTGTTTTCTTAGTCTTTCTCTTTTCTCTCAGCAGGTTTTGAGTGGAAATGTACATTCCTTCTCTACAGACATGGTCCCTTGAAAAAGCTGTTTCTGAACGGTGTTTCTGTGTAACTTAGAAGCCCTTCTGAAGTTGCTGAGGCAACTTGCAATACATAGAGCTTAAAGATATTTAACTTTGCTGCTGCTGGGTGCCAGACCACCCCTCCCTCATTTGCAGAAACAGGACAGCTGTGACCTTTCCATATTGCACAGAGAAGCTGTACCAAGCAGACAAACTGACGGAATCCTTCCCTTAGCAACGTAAAGGTGAAGATACAGCAATTGGATTAGCAACTGACAGTTATTTTTAGTCTAAATTTCTTGTTTTAAAATATGATATGAAGATACTACACATAGCCCAGCTGAAGTGAGTGATGACTTTCAAACAGCAACACCAAATTACTATACTTTCAGTGATGAAAAGGCTATTTCACCCCTAGACCATATCTACTTAATGTATCCAACAGTACTCTACCACAAAATCTGCCCTGGGAAAGCTCTCAGAGAGGTACAGTTGCTTCAAATGCGTCATCACACACGCCAGCCTTCTCTACTCTCTCATTGGCATCAACACAGAATGATGCCATCATTCATGAATGGGCTTTCTGGCTAGATGGGGGAAGATGGACTAATCCAGAGCTCAGTTTAACCCCACATTTGTAAAACTTAAAATTAACTGAATACTTGTTACTGAAGGTGTGAAAACAGGACCATATTGTGATAAGAAAATAATTTGTGAGAAGTTTTCTTAACAGAAAATTCAGACTCATATTCATGATCCTGATAATAAAAGCCTCTGATGCTTTTAAAGGCTGTGCAATGATTTCAGTAGAGCTGTATGAAAATGGTGATTAAAAGGCATCTTCTGTAATCCACTTCAACTCTAAATCACAATAAAATAGTTCATTTGACTGTGCACAAAATCATCTTCTCAAATTCTATCCTGAGAAATTCCAGTCTTTGTTTGGGTGTCTACATAATTTACCAGGTTATCAAGCAATTACTCACCTGTATTTCCCTGTCCTTTAAGTAGAAGTTATTTGACTGGGAAATAGGGCACATAGTTTTCTCAGTGTGTAACTAATCTGGCTCTCCCTGGCCCAGCTCCCTCCTTCCATGTATTTGCAGTTTTAAGACACGGTGTAGGAAATAACTCAAAGTGAAGACAAAGGTGTTTTTCAGATGAGTACAAGGAGACCTGAAGGCAGCACACAGGTGGGCTGTTTGCAGGCACGCTGCTTGGTGAATGCAGGCTCTGGAGAGAAATCAGATGGAGTGCCACTTGAGGCTGAAGCCCTCTGCTCCCTAATCTTGAGGCTTTGAGACAAATTGTTCAGCTGTGTGACTGATTTGCATCCAAATCATTTTCTATGCATGAACACAGAACCAATTTCTATTAGTCCATCGCTTTTGTTCCTTTGCTTAATGCTCCCTTCCCTCCTCCAGCCCCGCTCCCTACCAGGTTAACCCTTTCTCAGAGAAAAAAAAAGTAAAATAAATTACAATTACACAAAGGGAAATGCGTAAGGTGCTGGAAGGATTCAGCATGGACTCTACTGAAGTGACCCACTAATGAGTTACAAAAGATTTGCAGAAGCCCCAGAAAGACAAGAAAGGAGAAGGGAGGGAGAGAGCCTATCTGCTTTGGCTGAATGGAAAGGTGCCACAAAAGAGGCTCTTCAAAAGTCCTTTGGAAAACGGAAAGTCAGCCCAACAGAAGCCTGTGGTAAGGAACAATAATGTAAAACAAAAATGAAGATGGTTTAGCTGAGGGATTTGGTGTGGAGATTAGCCAAAGGCATAACATGAAAATAAATAAGAAGAAATTACTTAATTATAAGAGGCATAAGCAGGCTGTGAGAGAATCAAAAGGCTCAATGGAGTACCAGGGTGCAATGGGAACAATTAAAGGGGATAAAGACATTGCAGGGAAATTAAATGATCTATTTGCACATCTTTGCCACCAGTCATTTTGAAGGGATACATGGATAATAAAGCTGAGAAATGGCTGGAAAATAAAGGGTCAAATAAGACATACTGCGAGAAAGCAATACATTTTGGAGCAGATAGCATCAGTGAAGGCTTTTGACATCACTCTGAGCAGTTAAGCAGAGGCTTTCTTTTAGGCATGCTAGGGAAGTTAACTGGATTATTCAGGTGTTTAAAAGTATGAAGGTACATAAGTACTGGCACCTGAAGCAGTTAAGATTGTCTGGCAGGAAGCAAAACCAAACTGTCACTAAAAATCCTAACTGTCCCACAAGACAGCAGGCTAACAAAGTTTGGACCAGAGTCCTTATCTTGGCAGCTGCAGACAACTCAGCTCAACATGCTAAAGTTAGCATGCTGTAAAAGCCTTTCTCCTGCAATACTTAAAAGATGGCCAAAACTGAAAAACATTTGGCAAGCTGCAAATATGGCATAGATGAAAATCAGGTAAGAGACCACATCTTGCTTTGTTCCCTCCCCACACAATAAATCAGTAGTGGAGAGCAGAAATGCATCCTTAGCTTCTAGTGGGGGGAGAACTAGCACTGCCCTACAAGGAGGATTCCCCCTGGGAGTAAAGCACAAAACACAGGGTGCAAAGAAGAAGGACCAGAAAAGCATCTTTGGGTTGCCTCAAATTATTTGAGCTAATCAAAGCTGAAGAAGCTGGTCACAGCTCAAATACTGGGTTCAGTTTTGGGTCCCTTACTCCAAGAAAGTCATAGAGGGGCTGGAGCATGTCCAAAGAAGGGCAATGAAGATGGGGAAGGATCTAGAGCACAAGTCCGGTGAGGAGCAGCTGAGGGACCTGGGAGTGTTCAGCCTGGAGCAAAGGAGGCTCAGGGGAGACCTTCTGGGTCTCCACAACTCCCTGACATGAGGTTGGAGCCAGGTGAAGTTCAGTCTATTCTCCCAAGGAATAAGTGACAGAACAAGAGGAAATGGCCTCAAATTGTGCCAGGGGAGGTTTAGGTTGGACATGAGGAACAATTTCTTTCTCAAAAGTATTGTTAAGCCCTGTTCCAGGCTGCCCAGGTCAGTGATGAAGTTCCCATCCCTGGAGGGATTTAAAAGAGGTGTAGTTGTGGCACTTAGGGACAAATTTTAATGGTGAACTTGGCAGTGTTAAGTTTATGGTTGGATCTGACAATCTTAAAGGTCTTTTCTAACATAAATGACTCTGTGAAAGACTTAGAAAAAGAGACATGACCAACACAGCACATCAGTGCTGGAGGAAGGGGAACTCAGGAAGGAACAGTCTTAATTTTTCCCACACACAACCAAGGTAAGCTGTTCACGGAAAAGTCTTTGGAATCCAGTCTGCATTGGGTTTTGAACTGGTGTTCACAAATCATACAGAGTCATTTATTTCAGCAGATTAAATTGTCTTTTCTGCTCATCAAGTATTAATAGGAAAGCTTCTACTTCCATTAATGTGTTCTTGGAAAACATCTGAGGTTTTTTTAATGTATGTATTTATTTTAGATATTTAAAACTAATCTCTGCTGAAAAAAAAAAAAAAAAAAAAAAGGGCACTGGAAGTTACTGAGGTACAGTCCTTGGGCATTCATGTTGTGATTCAAACTCACCATGATGAGTAGCTACCCTGCCACAGTCAGTCCAACCACTGCAAGACCTGCTTTTCACATTTTATGACCTTTTGGTGAGGAGAAACCCCTCATATGAACTCCACACAATGAAAGACAGACCTTGGATGAAGAATAACCAGGAAGAATAACTGCAAAGTGAAGAG